TTGTGCTTAACCCTTTGAGGGTTTTGGTCGTACTAGTATGTCTTACGCGTAGGGTTTTTTGACGTACTAGTACTCATAAATTCTAGCGGCCTCAAATCTAGTGGGAGAAAGCTGGTAGGCCTTCATATGAAAGAATGGGTCTATGTGGTCAGTGTGCACAGTCTAAAAAAAATCCTGCAGCACACAGTGCATAATGAGAAAAAAAAAACTTTGACCATTTTTTTTTAATAAATCAGCGACTTTGCAGTGTATTTTCGTATGGTATTTATTGTTGTATTCTAGTTTTCTTGGTCTCATTTTATAGAATGGAAGACATATTACAGAAATTGAGATGATTTTGACTGGTTTTACAATGAAAGGTGCCTTGAAATTGAGCTCAAAGTAGCAGAAATGTTCGATTTTTACCAAACTTCAAAAGTAAACAAATCGTGCCAAGCGTGCAATACACGTCAACTGGTGAGTCTAATATTCTTTCACAAGTGCACCAATAATATTTATACCATTTTTTGCACTAATGCAGTAGTCTGCATAACAGTAAATCTTATATTTTTTGTGAAAATAAAAATTCAAAGTGGAAAGCAAAAGAATATAAGAGGAGCCTTGAGACGTTACTACTGACCAGAGGAAATGTCATTTTAGTGCCAGGAATGTCTTTCTTGTTTATTCTGGACCCTATTCGGAAATTGGCATCTTTTGAAATTTGTGTGAAATTGGCAAAATTGCTAAATTCTGACCACTGTACTGGATAGTTGAATTTCATAAATGGGTGGTTTCTTGCTCCCATTCGATAGAAAAAATGGAGTTCTAGCGAAATATTCATGTTTTTTGTCGACTAGTACAGTGAAATTGGCCGAAAATGGGGCTCAAAGTGGGCAAAAACGCCGATGCGTAAACATCGCCGAGACCGCTAACTTTGCGAGAGCATAATTCCGTAAGTTTTCTATCAAATTTCAAACCTTTGGTGTCTTTATGATCAGGAAAAAATTCTCTATCTTTTCATAAGAGAAAATAATTTTTTTTTTTTTTTAAATTTGGCCGACCCTGAGAACGAGTTTCGGAGAGGGCCTGTCGACCCTCAAAGGGTTAATTGTTATCTGTTTACAATAATGTTTTACCACTGAATATATCACTGCTTGGTTAATCTTAAGTTAATTTTATGCCTGCCCATAATGCTCTGCATACAAGGGGCTTTGGCATGTTGCACTTAACTGTATTCATTTGTACTACTCTGTATCATGTTCAAATAAATAAATAAATAAATAAATAAATAAATGAAATGAATAAATTTTTATTGAATGTATTGAGACACTAACCTAGCCAGCAGAATATCAGTCACATTACATTTTATATAACTGTTTAAATAATAAGGGAGTTAACTGTCCAATAAAATGTAAGATTCCACTATACTGCACTATACTTTGTACTAGTAGGTATGTGCCAAAATTTAATAAAAAGTGCAATGTTGCAGTACTAATAAGTATATATTTAATACACTGCTTTAACTTTCACTATATTTGTGGTTCTTCTCACATTATAACTCATCCAAGGCTTCACAGGAAATGAAATATGAATAATTTCCTATCATAAATTTGGCCAAATACAGAATATTAAAGTCAGCTCCTTGCAGTAGGAATAATGTGGGTAAATAGTGGACTCCTGGGTTGCACTTCCATAACCCAGTGTGCTCTCCCTCACCTGCCTTTTATTCTTTCTATTACTGTGATTCCTATATGTCTGTACAATATTGCAAGTTCTGTACATCTGTAGTTTAGTGTTCATAAGACATTCATCCTTGAAAAATTAAATATATATCCCTCAACACTAAGATTTTTCTATGATTCAGTGCTTGTTTCTCCTGTAATGTGCATAAATTGTTTGTAAATAGTAATGGTACTGTATTATAGCTCATTTATTAAAGATTTTTGTAATCTCTCTGATTCTAAAATATAATGTAACTGTATGTATATCATCTTCTCAACACATTTTACACTGTCTTTTTTTTTCTTAGTGCTACACTAGCCTCCTTCCACATACAGAGATAAATGAATCCTAGTCATCACTATTTATAATACAGACTAGAACTGCCCCTCCCTTTCCTTGGGTTAAATTTGAGTCCTTCCATTCCTTAGGCACTGTATAACCTACAATTTCAGCATTTCTCCATTTTGTTTCTTATAGATAGAGAATGCCATGCATTGTTCTTGGCAATACATCCAGTGACTTGTAAGGTAACTAGATCTAATTTGATTACTGTGTTTTGATTTTGTAAATCTTTTGGGAGAACTAAAATGTTGCAACATTAACAGGTCCCTGGATGGGCGGCTGCAGGTCTCTCATAAAAAAGGACTGCCGCATGTCATCTACTGCCGGTTGTGGCGCTGGCCTGAGTTACAGAGCCATCACGAACTTCGTGCACTTGACCATTGCCAGTACGCTTTCAACCTCAAAAAAGAGGAGGTCTGCGTCAACCCATATCATTACACTAAAATAGAGGCGCCAGGTTAGTATTTTTGTGTAAGGTTAATACTGATAAATTAGACACATGTGCAACTCTTGGGTATCTTTATTGAGGAAACGTTTCGCCACACATTGGCTTCATCAGTCATACATAGGAAAACTGAAGAACACGATAAATGAGGTATCATCCCTCAACCTTGATCGATGTTCAGTCCATCAATCTTGAGATTTCTAAATGATGGATGAACACATGACTCAAGGTTGAGGACTGATACCTCATTCTCCTCTGTTCTTCAGTTTTCTATGTAGGATGATGAAGCCTTGTGGCGAACGTTTCCTAATATAAATACCAAGTTGCACATTGTCTAATTTTACAACATGTCGTTACTGAACCATTCACTTGACAAAGGTTATACTGTAGCCATGAAGGACTTACAAAATGCACTTCAAAGAACATCCGATTTAAATATGTTCATTATCTTCATCGAGTAGTTACTTGTTTTAAAAAAGTTTGAAAGACATGGTTTTCATTGCATGAGTATTAGAAGCTCACTGTTTTATATAAACTTGTATGTACATTTGTACAAAAGTCAGTAACCCTTTCACTGTGACGAGTAGGTAGTAAGTGCCACAACCACTGAGGGCTATGCAAAAGCTTCGAACAAGTTGCATTTAAACAAATGTTATAATAGCCGAGTGTTCTCAGCCCATAGACATAATACGGATGAGGTAAATCGATACTAAATCACTAAAACTTGTGTAGCTTGTAAAATTATGTTGGACAAGTACACAGTGGTATGTTTGGACAGAGTATGACGTGTCTGATGGTCAGTAAGCTACTGCAGATGTCACAATGGTTTAAAGTAACTTTATTTAGGTACAAGTGCACATAAATACAGTTAAACAAATTATCATACGTAGTAACATATGTGTAGATTACTTAGGATACCCCCCCCCCCAAAAAAAAAAAAAAAAAGTCAAAGTGACTTATTTCCACTGAGTTTCTTGTAATATCTTATCATTTAAACCTTAAAAGTTAAAACAGCTAAGTAAGTAATCTGTGTGAAAATCAGATGATTTTACATAGTGTTTTCATATCCTCTTCAACCTCAGGGCTAAAGTGTAGGAATATTGGACATAGTGTTTATATACAAATTCAGAGGGACTTCAAGATTTGTATATCCTCTGCTTTCCTTCATATGCATATTCACTATGACCCTGCCTCCTCCTGCTTCGCCTCACCTGACTACAGTATATAAGCCACTTCTACGGCCCTATGCTGTACTTTCTACAAGACTGATGGACTTCAGGCTGAGGGACTGATTACCTCATACTACTCCTCTCCTTACACCCTTCTGATTTGTATTGGACTGATGAAGCCACTGTGTGGCAAAATGTTTCTTCAATAAAGATTCCCATGTGTTGCATAAGTGTCTCAATCTTCAACTTGTCGGTTTTAAACCATTTATCACAGAATTATTAAAGCTTATTACTTGGGTAGCATTTATTCTGTTAGTGGGTTGGATTTGTGAAGGACCTGCCAAGTATGGGCCAACAGGCCTGTTGCAGTGTTCCTCCTTTCGTATGTTCCTATGTTGATGAGTAGAACAGTCTGTCTAGTGTGGTTATTGAGGCTTAAACCTTGGGTAGTTTCAAATTTGTGTTGGATAAATACATGGATGTGAGTGGGACTTGCACATGAGTAACTAAATTATCAAAGCTTATTTCTTGGGTAGCATTGAAAATTGAGTTGGGCAAATATTCTGTTAGTGGGATGGATTGTGAAGGACCTGCCTAGTGTGGGCCAACAGGCCTGCTGCAGTGTATTATTATTATTATTATTATTATTATTATTATTATTTATTATTATTATTTAGTTATTTAGGGAACTGGAGCACAGATCCAATTTCCTAGATCAAGAGCCCCTCACCAAGGAACCTCCCTTGAAGGGGAAGTTCTCATCCTGAAATTTTGTTCGTATCCAGAAGCAAAAAATCGACTGAGCGACTGTTCATATCCTGAAAAATTTGCATGGTGGGGCATTCGTAAGCCGACTTTCCACTGTATAGAAATTATTCTATTACACATTTCATGTTTGATTGGAATAATAGCATTTAACAAAAAATGAAAATTAATGAAACATTTACTTTTTTTTTTTCTTTATTACAAGAAATTTTTTTTTTCCTTCAGTGTTAATTCATGTAAGGAAAATACTTAAAAATTTTGAAGCCATTACACTGGCTGTTGACACTGCTACAGGCCCCGTTATCAAATAATAATTTGATTAAGGTTTTAAAAGCTCTCAACTTATTTCTTGTCATGGAAACTAAATTTCAGAATTGATTAAGGAGCACTGTGTCTTATTAACTTGTGATTTGAGATTGTTTTGTATAGAAATTTGAAAAAAATTATCTACTCTTAGTTACAGTGTAGTACAGCCTCTCCTCACTTAATGAAGGGGTTCCATTCCTAAGAGTACGTTGGTAAGCGAATTGGTTGTTAAGTGAGGAGCATACTACAGTAGGGTCCTGCTTTACGGCATTTAGTCTTACGGTGTTCCGCTAATATAGACATTTCAAGTGATGACTAAAACTCGCTATACAGCTCCCCTCGCCTGAATTTTTAATGCAGTCACCGCAGGCCACCTGGCTTGTTTATATTCTCCATGAGCACATCTCTCCATTATGTCTGGAAACTTTTCAAAATTTCAAGTGTTTTAAAGTTATGACATATTTTATATGTACTCTGATAATTATACTTATATGTCTTTCTTTCTTTTAACACACCGGCTGTATGCCACCAAGGTGGGGTGGCCCAAAAGGAAAAATGAAAGTTTCTCCTTTTACATTTAATAATATATACAGGAGAAGGGGTTACTAGCCCCTTGCTCCTGGCATTTTAGTCGCCTCTTACAACACGCATGGCTTACGGAGGAAGAATTCTGTTCCACTTCCCCATGGAGGTAAGAGGAAATAAACAAGAACAAGAACTAATAAGAAAATAGAAGAAAACCCAGAGGGGTGTGTATATATATGCTTGTACAGTGGAACCTCAAAAATCGAACTGCTCCCAACACGACTAATTATGTAAGTGTATTTTTGTAAGTGCTTTTATAAGTGCATTTTTGAGGGTCTGAAATGGACTAATCTAATTTACATTATTCCTGATGGGAATAAATTCATTCGGTAAAGGCACTCGAACAGCCTTCTGGACCGAAGAAAGTTCAATATTTGAGGTTCCACTGTACATGTATGTGTAGTGTGACCTAAGTGTAAGTAGAAGTAACAAGACGTACCTGAAACTTTGCATGTTTATGAGACAGAAAAATGGACACCAGCAATCCTACCATCATGTAAAACAATTACAGGCTTTCGTTTTACACTCACTTGGCAGGACGGTAGTACCTCCCTGGGCAGTTGCTGTCTACCAACCTATCACCTAGAATACTTATATGTACTGTACCTGTAACTAAATAAACATACTGTGCTGGCATGCAGGTACACTTTAATATCACTAAGAGTGTCCTTCTAGTCTTGATGCCATAGTAATAATAATACTAATTTTTTTTTTTTTTCAACAAGTCGGCCGTCTCCCACCGAGGCAGGGCGACACAAAAAGAAAGAAAATCCCCAAAAAGAAAATACTTTCATCATCATTCAACACTTTCACCTCACTCACACATAATCACTGTTTTTGCAGAGGTGCCCAGAATACAACAGTTTAGAAGTATATACGTATAAAAATACACAATAGTATATTCCTCCAAACTGCCAATATCTCAAGCCCCTCCTTTAGAGTGCAGGCATTGTACTTCCCATTTCCAGGACTCAAGTCCAGTTATATAAAATAGCCAGTTTCCCAGAATCCCTTCACTAAATATTACCCTGCTCACACTCCAACAGATCGTCAGGTCCCAAATGCCATTTGTCTCCATTCACTCCTATCTAACATGCTCACGCACGCTTGCCGGAAGTCCAAACCCCTCGCCCACAACACCTCCTTTACCCCCTCCCTCCAACCTTTTCGAGGATGGCCCCTACCTCGCCTTCCTTCCCCTACAGATTTATACGCTCTCCATGTCATTCTACTTTGATCCAATCTCTCTAAATGACCAACCACCTCAACAACCCCCCTTAGCCCCTCTGACTAATACTTTTATTAACTCCACAACCTCCTCCCAATTCCACACTCCGAATTTTCTGCATAATATTTACACCACACATTGCCCTTAGACAGGACATCTGCACTGCCTCCAACTGCCTCCTCGGTGCACCATTTACAACCCCGGCTTCACCCCTAAAAGGTGTGGTATAATATCTTTCAAATTCCCTTCTTTGCCCCCCCATAGATAACTTTTTTACCACATATACTTCAATGCACCCCTCCCTTTTTTCCTTCTCAATTCTTGATTAACCCCCTCTTCTTTAAAACCATCCGCTGACACTCAACTCCCAAATATCTGAAAACATTAAATTTCCAAAATCCCTCCCCCAATTTGATATCCAATTTTTTTTATCAAACATTTTTTTCTCTATCCCTTTTTTTCTATGTTCCTTTCAACTTTCACCCTTTTCACACCTCCCCAAAATTGTCCCCTAACCCTTTTCAAATTTTTTTTTGAATCTCCCCAAAGCACGTATCATCAGCAAAAAGTAACTGTGTCACTTCCATTTTGTTTTAATTCTTTATTTTTTTATTTCAATGGCGATTCCCCCAAGGCAGGGTGGCCCGAAAAAAAAAACTTTACCATCATTCACTCCCCTACTGTCTTGCCAGAAGGGTGCTTTACCTAAGTTTTTAAACTGAAAATTTAAACCCCCCTTTTAGAGGCAGGCACTGTACTTCCATCTCCAGGGGGCTCAAGCGGCCTGCGGTTTCCCCGAATCCCTTCATAAATGTTATTTTTTTCCCCACTAACAGCACGTCAAGTATTAAAAACCATTTGTCTCATTCATCCTATCAAACACGCTCAGCTGCCCCGGAAGTCCAAGCCCCCGCACACAAAAACCCCCTTTTCCCCCCCCCCCCAACCCCCCTTTGGCC